TCAGCGGTACTTTGCCATATCATGCTTTCCTTATTTTTTCGTTGGGTATCTAAATTTCTCTTATTCTTATTGTGCAGTCTAATCGTTCAATTTCTCTGTAACATATTTACATTTTGATTTTATTGTTTTTCTTTATTTATTACGCCGTACGTGACTTTTAGCTCTCTATCAATATTCCGGAGACAAGGAGAAGGAAAACGAGTGCCAGGAGTTTCACTCAGAATTATACAATTTAAACCTCAAAGGGTTAACGGATAGTATGCAGCTGCCAGAGCATCAGCTCATTAACGTAAGTCCGTTATTCTGTCGACCATTCTGTTGATTATTGTTTTAGTGGTCTGACGGAAACGTTCCCGTCTTGTCTCCAAGGACGACGTAAATGAAGGCGCGTTGGTGCGCGACTTTTGCCGGTTAACCGTTAGAATTATTTTCTGCAGAAAACAAGTGGTACCTTTATTGTTTGTAGAAATTAAATCGTCAGCTCGTTTGTGGTATACACGGTTAGCCATTATGCTATTTATGTATCCACTTTGCGTTTATTTTTTTATGGTTTTGCGAAAGACCTATAAACTGTTGCTGTTAAATGTTTTAGTCATTGTTTATAAACATCATCAGCTTTGCTCTGATAACTTAGTTGTTATATCGAAAGTAGCTGCTTCTTCAAATTGGGCAAAAAGTAAGGAATGTGAAACAGCTACTATTTGCACAGCTTTTCGACCGAAAACCTAGGGTAAGGTCATGAATGACCTAGGTCTAGTGTCTTGAAAAATTTTGCTCTAGATTCGTGCTTTCTTCTGCCAAATCTCATGCGCTATCAGAGGATCTGGAATGTTGGAGACACTGTCTATTGAGTATGCCTCTGTGACTCGAATGTATAAGCGGTCATCGAAACTGAGTGGCTATCGAAAGTAGCTGCAGATTAAGGTGATCAACGAGTCTAGGATAGCCAGTTGTCATTTGAATTTTAGACTTCAACATTTTCAGTTGTTCGCATCGCTCGATATGTTTTTCTCCAGTGGTACATTTAACCATGCTGACTAAGTCTGATAGTAGTCATCGGTCCTCCGGCAATACATATCCGGATTTCCCTTCTACGTACCATATAAGTTTACTGCTGATTGCTGCTTTTCTTGGAGAATGAACCTTTTTTAATTTGGTGCATCAGGCGGAAAACCGGCAAGGTCCGATATTCCGCGAATGATGTTGATAATATGCTGAAGTTTGGCAGAAAGACCATGCCACAGTTCCGGTGACTTACGGTCCTGCTACAGTGAGCTCGTTATTTACCGTTACTACAATCTCTGTCTACTGCATAAATGATTATGACTGAGACTTGTCGGCCGTATCGAATTCGAATCCCTTGTTTGTGTTGCATACTGCCAACGACATGTATTCATTCCATCGTCTGCGGCTTAACATCAGCATTTTTCGATCCACTGCGGGAGGAAGACCTATCCAAAACTGGCATAAACTTTTGTTTCGTGCAATTATTATATACCTTGTTTCAATGAACTTCTTCAGTTCGCCGGGCAATCGATCTGGCAGTTTACCCTCTCTTGGAATCCAATCTAATGGCACGTTTCTGCAAAATCCAATATAGAGACGTATTTCGCGTAAGCAACTAAAGTAAGAATGCAACCATGAAGACGAAATACATTGACACTACGTAGCAGTTACAATCCATCATAAGTAATCACGCGATATGCTAATGAAGCAACGATATTCCGACGATGATGTACCTCGTTTTGTTTTTCCCAATTTCCCAATTATTCCCAATTTAGTCATGAGAAAAGCACTTCCACCACACCCTATTACCTAAAAATTTTTTCCCAATTATTCCCAATTTAGTCATGAGAAAAGCACTTCCACCACAACCTATTACCTAAAAATTTAAATCCATTGATTCTTTTACGCGTTGAAACAGTCTTGTTGGAATGTGGCCCTCACGCAGGGTTCTGTTCTTCAGTTTGATCTTAATTTCTGGTCATAATTTGCTTTGGAATATTACGAATTTGCTTTTAATGTAGCTCCGCCACAGAGAATTTCGATGATGACGAAGAGAAGCAGTTTTTGTGTGCATTTTCGATATGACGAGGGAAAGCGAGTCCGTTGTTACGCATTTGCTTGTAAATCGCTCTATCGAGTATTTGCTAGCTGCTGTCAGATCATGCTTCATTTCGCACCATCACGTTTCCGAAAGTGCGACTCAAATCAGTTAGGCTACCAAATTCAGTCAAAATCTTTACCATGGTACGAAATTTCATAGTGTATGCGTATGAATGAAAACTTTTCCAGCTAGTTTTCCATGAGAATTTCCTTCTAACTTATTACTCAATTTGGTTGTGAGCGACTACTGACCATTTCTGAGCAAAATCAGCAATAACTTTACACCGTACTGTGTCAGCCTCCATCTGCAGCAGGCCACGCGTTTGCTTAACTTTGTTTTGAACTTGTGAATGACTAACTTATTATAACGCATACCTACTACTAGATTAGATTTCGCTACGTTTTGCACTGCCCCTGCCCCCAGTTTCCTACGGGGCAATTTAAGCAAGCCACGGCTCCTTGCTATTTGAACTCCTTAAGCGTCAGTTGTATCTCGCATCGTTTTGTTCGCTGGAGCCACCTCATGCTCATTACTGACGTTCAAAAGATGGCAATACTCATGTGCAATCCTATAAACGTCGGGGTAAGTTCGTACGTCGGAGTATGTCAGATAGCGTATAAGTATTTCATGACGGATTGCACTACCCTTTTGCTCCTAGTTTTTTTAGAGACCACTTATATTGGCAAGTTAATGTCTTGACTTCTGAAGAAGAGGAACAGATGGGTTGTGATTGATGCTAAACGATAGTTTTGCCTTAGATAAGACAAGAGAAACAATTGAAACATTTTTAGAGGTAATTAATTATTAGACACTGCTATGGTCCATGTAACGAGACCCTGGCAAACCGAATCGCGTAGGTGCTTTCTACTCTGCTCATCTTGCTCTCGGTTCATTCAGCAATAACGACTTTCACATTAGTTTGCGTCCTCCAGGTAGCTCATCGTCGAACCATTTTGTTGAAGTTTCATCGGATAACGTCACTATTTGTGATGTTGTGCCTGAATATCTGTCAGCTGTTACCTGTTGAATTTTTACTCTTCTGTCGAGTTTTCCGACTGGTTCCACTGAACTGGTAAATTATCCTGGGCGCCGCTTGTGACATTTTCCTTTCCTACGCAGAACCCACCACCCACTCTGCGCAGAACATCTTTACACCGAATATGTTGAGGAACGTTGGTATCTTTTAGCTTCAGAGAATTAGGCAACTGCTCATACGAGACTTCAGCGGGATGAATTGCTTGGTGGTTATTGGTTCTGCTGAGTTTCTGTTTTGTGCTTTTAAACTGCTCTTGAATGAGGACCTTACGGTAGTCGTTGTTCCGTTGTTCGCTGACCTTCCTATCTTTTTTAACTTTTGCTCTTTACCTTGAACATCGTGTTGTCAGTTATAATTAACTTGCGGACAAACATTAGTTGACGTTTTTAGAGTTGTTGGCATATTGAAACAGTGCTACAGTTCCTGTTCTTTTCACACATGCTGAAAATTGTTTATGAGTTTACTTTGTTTAGCGATTTCAATGCGCTTCTTGAAATTATTTCAATTCTATGGCAGTTTTTGTCAATTGTCCTGATCGTACATTCATGTTTCAAGGAAATACTTCAAAAGATATGAGCATGTTCGCTGAAATTTACATAATTTAATTTTTTGCTTTTCGAGAAATTTGTTCAAGAAAGCTGACCATCTGTTGAGACACGATACAAGTTATTAAAAATAAATTATACTGTTTAGCGATTCAAGAATGCTACTTTATTTTTGTAGTCAATTATTAGCTGTTGCTGCTAGCACTGCAGAAGCTCATCTATTTGCAGAAGACTGATAACCGATTCAACTTTCGGTATGGAGTGTTCAGTGGTCAATCAAGCAGTCGGCTCGATTTTGTTTCACCGTGAATTCGAGAGGCAGGATTAGACTCAAAGTTGCGTAAATTCTTAAGATTCTTCGGTATGTTGTCGTTCACACAGCTTCTTTGCTGATCGGTCTTCCACGGAATCCAAAAGAACTCCAGTACCGCCGGCAAGACGCACACTTAGCTAAGTCACTGCTCTCAGTAAATCTCGAGACATCATTTGCTTCGTTTACAGTACTGAGTTGTATGCTCTAAGATGTAGTGAAGAAACTGCGCGATCACGAAACGGAATCAGAACATGGACATTGAAGAGTTTCAAATAAGAGAGTGGCGATTGTTGAGAATCTACTGGCTGGGTCGCATTGCTGGACAACGCTTAATGGCTGGGCACCAGCATCGTGAGCAAAATGGACGACTGCTTTGAAAATGACTTGTCGAAATTGTATTTTCTGATGTCATGTACGTCAGGCTCAGATTAACGTAGACAATTAACTTCCAGAAAAAAGCAAAACTTAACATTATTTACTTCACGGAAATTATAAAGATGAACAGTGGTTTTGAACTCTGCAAAGTACGTAAAACTTTCCCTGCCAAGCGTGACATGACCATGTTCATTGTACTGAATGAAATGTATTTGTATTTATTTTCGCAATACTAAGTTCTGCGTCGCAGATCAACACATGCGCTGTCGTTTCCTCTCACCTGCTGTGCTGTTGTTCCGCTTCCTTTTAGATAGAGTATTCCATGCAGAAGATATAATTCCAGTCAGCGACGTTGCAGCATAAAAACGAACGAATGATTTACATCTTTATTGTAATGGGCTACGTGCGCCCCTACATGACGGTAAGCAAACGAAAGGAAAGACACCCAGCAAGATAAACAGTGGCACAAATAATATACATATACAAAGATGTATATAACCATAATAGCATCAAATATATGAGACGCTCGACTGCGGGTCCATACCGAAACGGTTAGAAGTACGTACTCATAGTCATCCAATTTCCTCTGGTCGCGGTACTGATTGCTTCAAATTCCACCGCCTTCTAAACCGCATCGTTAAGTGGCTTCGGCTGAGATCGCGTCAATGACGTCTGCAGCGAATCCCCTAACTTCTCTGTGAAGTCATCTAAGCTAGCTATTTCATGGTAACTGCGATTGGACGGGTAGGCTCTGTTCACGAGACTCCGGACCGTTTCTGTGAACTCTAGCGGTGGTTCCCGACCACGCTTCAAGGCATGAAGCTCTGCAATGAAGCGTGCTTCTTGTCCCTCCAGACTGAAACGTCGCAGGATTATAACGATGTCCGCGAATGCTGCTCTGTACATCACTTGGGCCGCACCTCGCTGCAGGGCACTTCTCCCAACTGCGCCACGAGGAAGTTTTTCCTTCCACCTCTTACCACAGATTCACCCGGCGAGGAACTCAAAGTGCGTCAGCAACGTCTCGAGATGTTGCTAACCGGTGTATGCCTTGGAGAGCATTTCTGGTTTTTATTCTCTGGACTCTTCCCTTTGGCAGAGAGTCCTCACACATGAAGAATGAAAGCACCGCTACACATGTATACAAAACTGTCCATATAAGCAGATCTATCTCTGCAAGCAAAGTACCTAAAATTTTCCGGTACTGTACGTCTGGATATTCTCTCTGAAGATACAGTTCCTTTGATGGCAATAACGAATCTACTCTCAACCGCATGATTCAGCACATCCATAGCAGCAGGTTCCCCAGTTCAAAAACGAAGCTTTACAGAGCGAACAATGCACAGTTTTTAAATCATAGCGATGATGCATAAATTCAACAATGCCATGCAGTTATAAAGGTGGCAGCAAGCACGTGCAACTGAAAATTTCAGAGTAGCCAGACCACATTTTGAGGAATCCTTGTCCATTTCAAACAGCATTTTTACGTACACAAACAGCTTCATGTGATCGCTGCTCAGTACGTTATGCAGTCGCGGTAACTGGACGAGCACGAAGCCAAATTCTTTCGTACCAAGTCAAATATTTCTTCGAATTCACAAGAGAACTGCAGCTTTGATGGCATTTCACAATGATTCTGAATATGTCATGAGGCGGTTGATGCACAAGCATTTGGGAGCTTCATCGTAGCCCTGTGGCTAGTATCGTGTGTAGCCGTAGTAAACAAAAGGTTACGACGACGCCGATTGCAGCCGTACCACTGCATCAAGTTAAATTCTTCAGAATTACTCAGTGAAAAATTTGTGCTGGTTTGGTAGGTCGCCGCAACCAAACCGAATCTGTCGTGAAGCAGTGCTATTTAGGCTGATGCCAGAACCTTGTGGGTATGGATGTCGCCGGAACTTATCATTCCGAAGTTGTTCTACGCGTTAAACGCTGGCGCTAAAAGTTCTGTTTGTCTGGAGTTCTACCGGTTGTTCAGAAACCAGACGATTGTATCCATGCGAGGAAGAAAAAATCCAAATGGAGTGTAGTCAAGGTCAAATTCTAACCAAAACAATATCCGGTTTGTACCAGCACCGGACCAGCTACTCTTTTTATGACGCTGCGGTTGCGGATCGATGGGGAAGATGCACTGACCACCGCCGAAAGATCATAAGCAGTTGCTACACAAACAGTTAAGCCACCAACCCCTTACTGATACAACACAATAACTGTCGATGCACGTCAACGCATGGAGGTCAGTGCCTCCCATTTCAATAAACTGGAATAATTTTCCTAACTTAGACAGCACTTGCTTAGTTCAGCTGGGGAAAAATGCTGCATTTGCAAGGATGTGAGCCAAAACCATGAACATTTGATCAGAGTAATCTTATTTCAAAATATCAAATTAGTAAGCACGAATGTCAATTACTATTCCAAACATATTTTTCTTGGATACATTCGCAAATGAAAACGATAATGAAATTAGAGCGTGGACTGGTCTTTTAGTAATACTAATATGACAGTGAAACTAATATATCCAATCAATTAAAAGATCGAATGAAGTGTCTGAAATGAAAACAAAGGCTATATCCAAGCAATTACGGCAACTTGTTTCGTAGCTCAATGCGGTGAGAGAGTCTAACTGGGTGAACAGAAGTATGGAGGAAATGTTGCGCAGAAAAAGCGAAAACGGGAATTCGGCGAGAAGCTGGGAATCGTTTCTGACTTCAAAATGATTACCAATATGTACTGGCTAAATAGTTTTTAAAGCTCATACCGATAATGCGCCGTGGATGACTTGAAGCTGCTAGGTGTTCTGACTCAATGGCTGGTACCACGATAAACTACATAAATACTTATTTACAACTGTTCCAATGTTTCGACCGAACTTACATCGGTTTTCATAAGGGAATGAATAAAATGGAAAACAACCTCCTTGGTCAGTTGCAAGTCGAGATTTTGCGCACAACAGGCACAACATCGTGCGCTGGTGTAGTCAGGCCGCTGATACAATCACGCTGTCCGATGCAACCCTTTAAGGTTGCAATTTGCCTTGGCCCACTTAACAGCTGAGTAGAAAATCAACACAAGGCGTAACCCATGAATAACTAAAAGATATAATAAGAGGTTGAGTCATCCGTTACTGTCTAAGGGGATGCCTTGGATTCAGCGAATAACCAATAGAATCAGCAGAATGACATAGCAGAGTAACAGCAGTGAAAGTCGGGCGGACATGCAAACTACGAAGAACAAGCTAACGCTACTGACTGGTGACTCAACGAGATGCCAATTTCGTACTCCGATCACAGATTATTTATCATGAGAAACGTCCTGGTTGTAAAAAAGCATATTCCAACAACCTATATACGGACAGTCATCTCTTAGGAAGCAAACATTGAACGCAATGGCTGACGGTAGACGGCCACAAAGACCTTAAACGCCATGAGAAGATCTCGTTAGAACGGACTGAAGTGCGAGCACGCATTTATTCGACAGATGTGAAAAGCTTGTTCGGCACCTGGTGATGGCGTCGATATAGCGGAATAACGTACGGAACATTGCCATTGGGACGGAGGTGATACAGAATCGTTAAACGCGAGTCTCAAGTGCGGCAGACGAAACCGGGAGGCATTTCAGCATACCAAACACTGCCACATATCTAAGAAGTCTATCATAGCGAGAAGAGTGTTAGAGGGGTCTGCGCATCTGACAAATGTCGGTAATTCGAAACCTGCAAACGGACAAATGACGCAGAAAAATATTATTCGACGAGAAGACGTAAGCACGCTACCGTTCAGAAAACAGCAGCGAAATTCTAAGATACAATCCAAGAAACCGTACACAACTAATGGCTTAAACAAACAAATATCCGCAACATCAGCTCCTACAAATAAACATAAAAATCCCTCGTTTAAAATGCTGCAGAAATATGAGCGCAGATCAAAATAAACGTGGCCTATCATTATATTTTAATCACAGGCGCTGAAGCGACATAAGTGCGATCGACTTATGTACGAGGAAAAGTGTCAAAATATATCAAAACCTTGAAGATATTTATAGCGTGAGCAAAGTAAACTGTGCTTCACCGCAAACAGATTTTGTCCTCTACAGGCGCCACCACTGTCACATCAACGACGTAACCCTCACTACTTTCAATCAAACATTAGAAGGTTTTAAAATTTCGTCCTGCAGTTTTATTTGTACTTCCGAATCAACCACTTTTATTATCGTTCCTAGAGCTTAGTGCGACTGAACGATGAAAACAGTTCTACAATAGAAATTACCATAGCAGACATGAACTGCTTAAACTTGATAACTTACATTTCTTCGTTTATATTATAAATTTAATGCCTAGAGCCGTACCATAAATGTGATATGTACCCTGTCGAGATTATCACTACTAGTCGTTTGCTTTAACAGAACGGATGCATCACAAAATATTATAGCGTAGAGCATCAGCAGCTGTATTAGTGTCTTATGCTAATCATCACATAAAGCAAGCAGTATGCAAGTAAACCAAAGGAATAGGTTTTATTATTCTGTACATATGCCTACGGATCGTGGCATATTTGCAGGTGTTTGAACAGGTTCTTGTTCGCCCCTGCCTAGTGATGCTCTGCATCCATGCACTTATTTTGCTCAATAACTACGTAAGCTTGACCTGCTTAAATGGTCCCCTATGCCACTAGAAGCAAAGGGTCGGTGCATACGTCAGTTCAATCAGGTATCGAAAGCTGAAGGGAATACACATCTTAGCGGCGATATCAAAGTTAGCAGTCTGCTAGTAAACGCATAAGATCGGGTTTTATCTTTGTCCAGACAGATATTCATCTGCTACGAGTTTATCTGGATCGTTTCGGTGTTTATCTTACAGTTAAATGTGGAACTTTGTTACGTCAAATTCCAAAATTCTGTAATACTGCATTTTAATAATAACGACAAAAGAACTACTTTAAATATGCTTTCACCAGAGAACGAAACTGTTCCTATTTCAGCTACAGCATAATTTTAATAAAAAAATCTTCACTAATTTCTTCAGTTACGCGCTCAAAACCTGTAAATTTTGAGACAAAAGCTGACTGTGCCTTTCTTTAACTAACGTGACCTAAAATCATTTTAGCGCAAGCACTGTCAAATAAATCGCAAGAGCAAATGGTGAATCAAAATGAATTAAGACATAGCTAAAGCTTTCACCTATTTATTTAAAGCTTCTGGCTGAAGGCATTCTGTAAGACCGTCACAGAGCTATTTTAATCCATCTTGATCCCGCGAACTTCTTCAGCCCATCTACCCATATATCTCCGTTTACGAGACGTTTGCTCTGCTTTGGAACCCAGTCCAATAAGTTTTTTGGTCAAACGATAATCGGCTGTTTTTGTAGCGTATTCTAATAGTTGACACTAACTTCTTGACTAGAGCAATTACATTGAAGATTCTTGTATGTGCTTTTATTCGTTCATTCTTCTACCCACTTTTTTCAAGAATTGGCGTACATAAAATTACAATTTTCAGTAAAGATAGCACAATACAGTGTACCTTGAGTTGTTTGTCTGTTGATTAATTCCCTGTAAAATTTTAGGACGCACCAATTCGATGG